TTTTTGCGACAGGGTCCCGCTGTGCAGTTCAGGCTGGCCTTGAGCTCACTTTGTAGCCCAGGCTGGTCTCAAACTCACAACGATCCTCCTGCCTCAGCCTCCCAAGTGCTGGGATTACAGGGATGCACCACCACGGCTGCCTTCCTCTTTAAGAAACCTTTAGTCAAGTTCTCCACACGCAGGAGAGCTTTGTCTAAGACATGGGGTGAAACAGAGGGTAAAATAAAGTCCGTATTGCGATGCATGTCTAATGGGTGTGGAGGAGAAAAATCTGCCCAGAAACAGGTGCCTGGGGGCAGACATAAATCTTTCAGCTCCTCTTGAGATTGGCATTAATGCTGGGACTTCCTTCGTTAGATTCAAAGTCTGACCCCATCTTATCTGGATTTCAAATGAACAGAAACTGTCCTTTTGACTCTGTCTGCCTCGCACTTAACATTTTGTTAGAAAGTAACCCTCATGCTTATCTAGTAGATACAGAAACTCCACGCGGTTCAGTGTGAAGCTGGAACCCAGGTCTGGATGAGCCCCAGCCTCCCACGCGTACACACTTCCGGGGCAGGGACTGAGCTCAGGGCCACGCAGGGGCTGGGAATATGCTCTGCCACTGAGCCACATCGCCTGGCTCTCCACATCTGCTAAACATAGGTGTTCTGCCTCCATCCCGTAAGTCCTTGCTAGTTAAATAAATATTTATTGGGCTGGGGGTGGTGCAAAGTGGTAGAACACCCACTTAGCATGTATGAGGCCCTACATTCAACCCCCAGCACCAAAAACAAACAAAAAAAGATGAACCAAATGAATATCAACTTTTACTTTCATCCTCTTTCTCCCACCTAACAGAGGTGCCCAAGTTAGAGCATAATTTCCTATCTTTTTCTCTCCAGCATTTCTGGGAGGGCCTGTTACTGCCTTGACCCCCATCTCCCTCCACGCAAGCGCAGTACAGTATCTCCTTTTGGTTCCAAGATGGTAATCTGTGGTGGCTGTGGAGGTGCACACCTGTTATCCTGGCCTCAGGAAGCTGAAGCAGGAAGATCGCAAATTCAAGCCCAGCCCAGGCAATTTGTTTAGCTATTTCAAAATAAAAAATAGAAAAGGAGCTGAGGATGTAGCTCTGTGTAAAGGCCTGGAGTTCAATCCTCTGTACCAAAAAAATAGCTGAGCTGCCTTCAAATGAGTATTTGACCTTCAAGAAAAGATTTATTCATTCTAACCTCACGGTGCTCTGGACCCACCTCTTCTAAGGGTTTGTGCATGCGAAACAGCTGCTTAGAATGAGGGGTAAGACTGGCTGGGTAAAAGAAATTAAC